ACTAATAAGTATATATATATATATATATATATATATATATATATATATATATATATATATATCATTCAAAATATCAAAATTTTTAAAACTTTTAAACAAGTTAAATCTATAAGGCATTTAATATATTAATATATCTCTTGTATCACATTTAATTACCGTTTCATCCTCTGTCATTGGTACGAGTGCCAATGGAGGCTGAGCTTTCTCCACATACAACGTTGGAAAAGTTGTCAATGGTTCTGGTGGTTTGCAATTACGATCGTACAGGGCCAACATTTCTTCCCGACCATATCTATGTTCTGCTAATTGATAGCGGGGTGTACTAAGAGTTGTGGTTCCTCCACCACTACCACCACCCGTATTGCAACTGTCTCCTGATCTGTTGCGCAACCTATACATGATAGATATGACAATGACAATATAATTACAAATGTAAGTAGAACACTTTAATGTTTATCCAATTGTCAACTACATACCATTCTGGGCCAAATTTCATGGAATCCGTCATGATGCACTTTATCTCCTGAGAACAGAAAAAACAAAGAACAAATGAAATCGATAACTTGTAACAAATTCAAATCTGTACTAAGCTACAAAGACGAAGATTAAAAACAGCACAAAAAATGTCAAATATATGGAAATCCATCGTGTATAAAGATATTCCAATTTTTTTCGGGTACCAACCGACGTTCGCGAGGCCTCGTTAAAACCTCAAAAGAATACGGAAAACTGGGAAACGATGTGGTGATGCGACTGCCTGCGAGGAATCACGGCTAGATGAGAAAATTCGCTTCCCGTCACGATAGGAGGCTCGTCATCTGTTACAATAGGGTACTTACATGCGCTCCGCGGAAAATACAACGTAAGGATTTCACGGATTGGAAAACTCGCAGGTCGACAGGCCGTACCTGTTGCTCGAGGGGGATACCGGATCGCCGTCGGCGATCGCGCGCGCGCGCGCGCGCGCGTGCTTGCGAACGCGCGGTGATACGTAGGACCGACGAGGCTACGAAGTGGACGAACGTGGAGGATGAGAGCATAACAGACAGCAGCGCGAGACTCGCTCGATCGCACGCATCCTCGAAGGGGGGGAATCTCGCTGTCTATCGCGTCACGTCCGAACGACGCTGGAGAAGGCGTCGCACGACTTCCCGGACGCGTCATCGCGAGATACTCGCGTTTACGGCGTACTCGCGCATAAAACGCAACACGAGCGCAGGCGATCTCTTCCCGCACGAGCCAAGGTGGCAACATTAACCAAACTTTTTTTGCTGGCGAACATCGGGGTGACTCGCGTGCGGCGGTGGACCGCGCGCGGAGTCCCGCGGCCACGCGGAAATCGAACGCTGGCCGGATCCCGCACGGCCGCGAACAGATTACGGCTGCGGCCCGAGCCTACGGGAGAAATACCTTTGCTGATCTTCGGGATTACTGAGAACAGCGATACAACACACCAATATGGCTGATGGTTTTTTTGGAATAAAGCGCATGCGAAGGCTCCCGTTCGTGGTATGCCTGGGAGGAGCTGGAAAAAGTCACTAGGATCACATACGCGCGTGAGAAAGAACTGACGATATGAGAAATGATTGGAGGACACGTGTAAAATGGTCAAGGCTGCTCGATTATTACACTTCCTCAATTTTTGAAAGGAATTGAAATTACAATGTTTAATGTTTTCATAAGCGGCATCTTTTGTTTTAAATCCACTTGCTTTGTCTAGCTTCGATTCAAATTCCTTTGGAAATTTCTTACTCTGTCGACAATCGTACATATTCGATAAAGTTACTATTGATTTTATTTTTATAGATTTTTATCGACTATAAATTCTGAAGCTAATTGCGTACTAATTTATTACTTCCTTCGTGTGTTATGTATG